GAAGAAATGCGCCACATTGTAAACTGTTATCTAGATGGTGTAATAAATGATTTTTCATTAAGACACGTGTGCGAAATGTAGTTGTGAACCAGTGCAGATTTATTTAACATACTCTTTGTGGTGGGTCAGTTAGTTATAGATCTTTTTTTTACCAATATGTTCTTTAGTATAACACTTTTAAACATCGTTTTGGGGGGGCGAGTTTTCTAGCTTTGGGGACTCCCCTTAAACCTATAAAATGTTTTGGGGAGTTCATTTTATTTTGTAGGATTTGAGGTTTTTATAATGTCTTGCTGATGCCGGACACAGAGGCAAAACGTCACCGTGTCCCCCGGCGTCGAGAGCGGACGGAAAACCGACGGGACTGTGGCACTCATCGAAAGAAACGTTGCCAGTCGATCTGGGGACAGTCTTTCCAGACACGGCTCTTACTGGGACTCTCGCTTAAAGCGAACACCAGCAGGGGATGACCAGAAGTGCCGAGAAGACAGAAATTAGTGAGAAAACTTGAGGTGACACACCAGTCCTTTAGCTGAGTTATAAACAGCGCCATGTAATCTTTCCTTAAATACATCTTTAAACAGATGACATAAAACGAGTCACATGATTCAAGGGAGCCACACGGGTGGAGAATTATTCCACTGGCTTTGGGGCGCATGTAATATAGACAGCTTTACCGCAACCCCAGCAACCCCGCCAAGCGCTCTGGTCGCCTCAAACGCACTGCAAGAGCAGAAAGAGCACTTTGTTCAAAGAGGGATTTCATTTCGTGTGCGTACAATAGCTTCACGCTTGCTTTTTGGAGCCGATAGAGATACAGTAGCTAGAAAATTAACTTTCGACGCGCAGGGCGGCGATTTGAGATGATAAAACAGAGGACTGGAGTGGAGCTGCTTTTGGAAGAGATCTGTGCAAGGAATGACTACTGTATCACTCGGGCTAGCATACCTGGCTGACTTTTCAGAGTACACCGGGTTGCCCAAATAGTTCAAAACAGTGCATGACACATGGCAGCATGAGTCCCGCACCGTTTAAAGGCTTGGTCACATCCAAGCAAGTTTTAGTTTTTCGTGATTTGATCAGTTAAACGCAGTAAAAAAAATTATTCTGTACGCTGTAAAATAATACCGGCCTTGCATGTGGATATTTGTGCAGACTGAAAAAAAAAATACATCCAAAAAACCTCCAGCAACATTGAATTCAAGATGCATGTCATATGAACATCCATATTTTAACAGCAATGAATACTTAACTCGTTCAATAACAGCTGTACTCATCTTGTGGTGTCCTAATTCTCAGGTCGATTAAATGTTAGACTTGGAGCATTTCACAGTACATCAATTGAATGGTTCAGATCGGATATTAATCCCCCCCTCTCCAAAATTCATCGAACGTGTTGACTACTTGGTGAACTGTTAGAAGTGACAGAAAAGAAGAAGCATCAAAACGTGATAAATTGCATCTTCGATTCTGTCCTGCCGTTAAAATTCACGGTTCGGGAAAATAAATTCATCTTTGAAACAACAGCGGTATCAAACCCGGATGAAATTAGCCATTCCCCCCTAATCTCCTTCCACCTAAACCCTGTACTTGGACGACTCGGAGTAAAGCAATTGCTTCACTCAGAAAAATTCAGCAATCATGTGACAGGGCGTCGT